ACCTAAGAATTATATAAGGACCCTCCAAAGCCTCCATAGGTCCATAGATGCTTATAGATGCTTCGCGGACAGGGGATCATCTGCGCACACAGATCTGGATCATCTGCGCACACAGGGCACATCGGGTGGGGTGGGGTGGGGTGGGGTGGGGTGGGGTGGGGCGGGGTGCGGCCACTTCCGTTCACTTTGACTAGAATTCAGACAGCCAGTCGCAGTGTTGAAGTAAGGGTGCGGTGGTGGGGTGGGGTGGGGTGGGGTTGGGGTGGGTTGGGTGGGTTGGGTGGGTTGGGTGGGTGGGGAGCGGTGGGGCTCACACACATCTGAGCACCCTGGATCAACACCCGGCCTTTGCACCTGCCGTAAGAACCCAAAGTATGGCCACTGCTTAGGCACCCGCATACGGAAGCCGCGTGTACATACGATCCCCGCGTGTACAGACGATCTCCGTCACCGCGTGTACAGACGATCCGATTTCCGCGTGTACAAACGAACCCCTGTCCCTTGTAGAGTGTCATCTATTCAGGTGGGACTGCATGTGCATCTTTGAAGTTCGTGATGAGGTTCAACAGCTTCAAGTAATCTGGGACATCCAACTCACACTCTTCAAATCCCTCAACATACCGAATGTTCAAGTGCCAGAGGATTATAAGACGGAACCGAGTCAAAGCCTACTGAAGGCAAATCAAATCGCTTACAATACCGACACCGACAAACATGAAGGTACTGTTCGGCCCTTTCAAAGGCTAGAAGTAACAGGTTTTCGTATACCAAATGAATTACCCCTTATTCGACTCTTTGAATCAACAAGACCAACAACGGAGGTTCCGTCTCATTCTCTGGCAACGCTCAGTGGGGCCACTCTCTCACCTGGCGGGACACCCCAAGCACCACGAAGAAGAATGCGAGATGAAGAAGGCATTCTACCAGGCCTTCCTGACGGAAGCTGACATTTTGCGGCGAGACTGGCCGAACCGAGCGGAGTGAGACCCGCACGCGAGGTCGGGTGCGGCGAAAGTGGAGGTTCTTTTGGGGAAAGCCCCACTAAAAAGATCCAACTGTCTCAGCACCGGGACTCATCACCCAAAATGCCTTTTTTTGAACCTTTTTTGTTTAACCGAACATGTCGCAGGTCGTTTCTCGCTACATGGTGGACTGGTCGGGCTCCATCTTTTTGGACTGTCGCAAGTGTCCCTTGATGCCCACGCCTCAGTCCAAACGTTTTTTCCGTCCAGGTCGCCCTGGGGGAGATTAATTATTCGTCAATGTCCTGGGTGCCTTGCGAAATTCACGGGGGTGAAAAGGAAAGGTTTACGGGGTCGGAATGAAAGGTTTTGGCGACTGCAGGGGC